TTTACTTTTGGTCCTTATTTGACGTTTTTGTAATACTTTTGATCCCTGCTCCAAGCAAAATGACTATGCCTATATTTACCTTTTCTCTGATTTTTTTTAATGCTGTTTTAAATTTATATTGTTTGTATATTGTAAATTTAACAAGACGAAAGGAAGGGAGGGTAATATAGTCATTTCATTGGAGCAAGGACCAAAAGCATTATGAAAACCTTAAATAAGGACCAAAATTTTAAAAAAGAAACTTCATGGATTAAAACTGAAAAATGAGCTACACCCCTGGACCAAAATTTTAATTTACTCCTTTGTGTATTTGGCATGAAACCAATGATGATGTGGCAAACAATTGCCAAATCTTCAAATAATGCCAAATAAGCAACAAGTTGAAACAAATTCGAATGATAATCAGTTAGTGGTTCTCCACGTTAAAAATTATTGTTTTTGGAAGAAAATCGATAATACATTGCTATTATGGGTAAAAAATTAACTATATTCTCCACATTCATAAAAAGGGAAAAGTATGCTGCCATTTCCTGCAAGATTTTTTATTTTTGTTTTTAATTTGAAGTTACCCAGTCAAGAAGGTAGACAAATTCCTCCTTTGGCCTATAATTTGTATTGCTTTTCCCGCTCACAATCTCTAATGCTACAACTCCAAAGCTGTAAACATCTGCTTTATCTGTCAAATATCCTCTCATTGCATATTCCGGAGCCATATACCCTCTACATATTTACACCATAAAAATATGTCAGATTTTTAATGAAGTTAAATGGTAAAATATGTATATATAAAATAAATGCTCACATTGTTCCAGCAATTCGTGTACTGATATGAGTATTCTCTTCTTCATCAAGTTTTGCCAAACCAAAATCCGATATTTTGGCGTTAAGATCCTTGTCAAGAAGCACATTTGTGGCCTTTATATCTCTATGAACTATTTTTAATCTTGACTCCTCATGTAAATAAGCTAAACCCTTTGCGATTCCCATACATATCTTCTTTCTTGTTGACCAGTCCAAATTAAGCTTCTGGTTCTCTTTACCTATAAAAAATTCACAATTAAAAAAAAAAAAGACTACGAATTTGCGGGATATTGAAAACTGAAAAGTATTTGGTTATTTACCAAAAAGGGCACGTGCTAGACTGTTGTTTATGAGGTATTCATATACAAGTAACAACTCTTTTCCTTCGATACAACAACCATAAAGTTTCACGAGATTTGGATGTTGTAAAGCGGATATCATTCCTATTTCAGTTACAAATTCACGGTTTCCTTGTTTTGATCTTGCTGAAAGTTGCTTCACAGCAATCTCGGAACCATCTGAGAGTACACCCTGTGAACAAAACGCATAAACTTTAATATAAATATAAAAATGGAATGTTACTATTTTCTGCAAATTGCCCAAATAAGAGGCCACATTTGAAACTTACCTTATAAACTGGTCCAAATCCTCCTTCACCAATCTTGTTTGCAGGATCAAAGTTATGAGTAGCAGCTTTAATTTGTCGCAGGCTGAAATACCCCGTTTGTAATTCAAGCGCCCGAAGCTCTGTTGTTACAACAATTAAAAGCTCTTAGAATTGTATAAAAATCTTATAGACATAACTTGTTTTTTTGCATATATTGTCTCTTGCCTTTATCTTCTTTGTCTCCTCCAATATAGCCTCTCCACCAAAGTAGAGCTAAAATTAGCACTACAAATGCACATGACCCAATCACAATTCCAGCAATAGCTCCAGCAGAGAGTCCTGTGCCGATGTCGTATTCTGCAAAAAGGGAGAATAGGTATGTTACATGAAAGTGAAAGTAAGAAAATTTTGAAATCGGAAGAAGTAGTAGAAAGATGGTACTACTAACCTGGTGTTATTTCGATAGCAGATAAAAGAGGCCCATAAACACCTCGATCCGGAATGGCAGTTGTCCCCTTTCCAGCCCATTGCAAGTGAATATCTAACGTGCTTCCGTTAACCACGATATTATCAAAATCTACGGAAGTCCCAATTCCAACACCTCCAACTACTTCCACAATGTTAAAGTCTTTCCATTGCAAAACACCCTATAAAACAAAATTAAATTCATAACCAAAAATATACAATCAAAAAATTGGGAAGTGTTATTATATTATAGACTTATTATTATTGTTACTGACTTGGATTGATATATCGAAATAGCGTCTTCCGAGGCTTCTAAATGTGGTATCATTTGTATAACTTATTTCAGCAAAGTGGAGTCTCACTCTATAACTCCCTTTCCTTAAACATAATCCATAGTATCTAAGTGAACCGGGAGAAAAGCGAGCTGTTGTGTATATATCGCCACCTGTCACATTCGTATTGGTTCCAGTAAATCTAGCTTGACCTTGACCCATGAAAAGACCATTAGTGCTATAAGCCCATCTTTCAGAGGTAGTAAAGAAGTAAGATTGAAGGCTGGTTGAATCATCTTCATATTCATTTCCTTCAAACTCTGTTCTAGCTCCACCACAGTTAATAAACAAAGAATGATCTGGAATTTAAGATACATTTCAAGATTTAGATACTGATATAATATAATAATAATTTACAAAATAAGTTTAGTAATGTCTTACGGATGGGGTTTCTGCTGCAAGTAACTTCATCTGTTATACACCAACCTCTAAAAGATTTATAAACATGTTATGTTAGTTGACATCATTGTATATATAATTTATAATTTTTTTTTTTGTGTGTGTGAATAGGTTTACATGTGACATACGTATTGGTTGGGTCAGCTGTAGGTGACAGGGCAGAAATTAAATTCCTGTTATAAATAAAGGTATATATAATTAGCGAATATAGAAAGTAGTAATATTGTGATACAGTAAAGGGTAGAATAGGAAAACTCACAAGCTAGATGACTGACAAATTTGTGGTGGAGCTCTTGTAAAATCGTTGTAAGCTATGTCACTGCAATCATAGCAACACATTCAAATTTCTTTGCAGATAATAGAAATCAATGTACTTTTAGTTTTTTACCTAAATAATAGCTATTATGATTTACATATTGCTAATATGGCGTAATGGAAATAATAATTAAAGGGTATTACTTACATCTTGTCATTGTTACGAGTAAATATCAAATCTGGAATCTCTCCAGAAAGTAAGTTGTTATTCAGAAACCTACATTCATGGACAATATTTAATATCAGAATTTACATCAAAATAAAAACAGGAAATATAACTATAACAGACACAATATTAGACCAAGTTTATCTGTTGCATACAAGGTGTCAAAATCTCTTCCCCAAACGGAAGGGGGTACTAAACCACTCAGTCGGTTGAAGCTCAAGTCTCTACAAATAAAATAAAATAAAAAGTCAGACAAAAATTTCATTAAATTTAAATAATAAATTTAAAAAAAATCAGACTTACACGTATTTTAAAGTGTCATTGTTCTGTCCGATGTATGGAGGTATTGAGCCAGTAAGCAAACAATTTCTCAAACTCCTGTAGCAAAATTATGTATATAAGTAATATAATATATATAACACACTTATTGTGTTAAATTATTTCATTTTCTTTCACACAAATTATTCAATCAACTCACAAATCCTCCATGTTTGTCATAGCCTCCAGATTAGGAAATGGCGTACTTGATGATCCAGTCAAATCAGATATCCTCCTGATATAAAATAAGTTCAATGTTAATAAAGTCTATTACCATAAAATTATTGACTGAAAATTCAATAAAATTAAAATAATGTGCTCACAGTGAATTCAAGTTTGTCAGCAGAGATATTGTAGAAGGAATAGGTCCAGACATGTTCGTTCCTTGCATATCACTGCAAAATAAATTATACATAATTAAAGTTTTAAGCTTTTTAATGACAATAAAGAGGGTAAAAATTAAAATAATACTCACAGTCTTGTGAGATTTCTCCAGTTTCCGATAAAATCAGGTATTCTCCCAGATAATGTACTCCCATCTATCCTACTGCAAGAAATATAAAAAAAAAGATTAAATAATTTATATAGAGTATGTAAAGAAAATGAGAATAATTTATAGAAGATATCTATGACTTACAAATCTTCTAAATTAGTCAGATTGCCATAAGAATCCGGTATAGTTCTAGTAAAGTTATTTGCAGAAGCAAGGCTTCAAGAAAAAAAAATTTCTTGTTAACAACACTAAAATATAAATATTATAAAAAAAATATATAAAAAGTAATCTTACAATCTTCTCAAGCGAGACAAGCGTCCAAGATTTTGAGGAAGTGGTCCTCCAAGAAAATTGTCTTCCACGACCCTAAAGGTCAAAATAGTAAATTCTCTATAAAAGGTCCCACTCACATAGGGTGAACATGAAAGGTAAGGATTTTAACTTACAACTCTTCAAGTGTAGACATATCACCTAGTGCTTCAGGTATAGAACCATTGATGCGGTTCCCCAAAAAACTCCTATGAAAATACAGTGTTAAAAGTACATTCACAAGGGCAAAATGGGAAATTTGAAACAAAAAGTAATCAACTCTTACAAAACTCTAAGGCGAAGCTGACCATAACTTGCAGGAATAGGGCCACTGATATAGTTGCGAGACAAATCTCTGCATGAAGATGCATCATATTACACAAAATGAATTTCAAAGGCATAACAGAGTTTAATATTAGATTTAATAATAATGAGAATATATTATAATGGTGCACTTAATTACATTTCTTGCAGAAAAGGGAGATTAGAAAATTCTTCAGGTAAAACTCCTGTCAAGTTCATTCCTTTTAACTGGCTGCAATTTAATACAAGTATAAAAAAAATATGAGTAAACATTGATTAGTGACATAATTAATAAATGTTGTAGAAAGATAGATGCTTACATTGTTGTTATGTGGCAAACAGTGGTGTTACAGTTGCAAATTATATTGCCACCAATGATAACAAACCCGTCAGCTCTCGTGGTAATTGTCCTATTTAGCCCTTGACTTCTGCTGCATGAATCTCTAGAAACACTCCAACCAGTATGTTGTAACCTTGAGGCTATTGCTTCCAGAGCTTCAACTGTTACAAAAAAAAAAAGGAATAAATAGAATGTCATAATTATTTACACCTAAAAACCTATCTATATTTATGAGTTTTCACAAGACAAGTAGCATTTATTATTTAGTCATGCTTATAGCAGTCAAACTTTCATAATAAGTTTCAAAAACTAGGTAAAAGGTCAACAAATGTTCAAAGGTATACAAGTTAATTAATTTGTAGATTGATGGAAATGAATAGACTTCCTTAATTGTTATTTTTAAGATATTTAAAGGAATGGATCAAGATCATAAAGAACGAAATTGAAATTATATCAAGCAAGTGGAAATAATGCCCACAAAAATGAAGTAGGTTATAAATTATAATGTCAATTATAATTATACACGCCAGATGGAAAACAAAAATATATATTTTTGCATGGTTGACAAAAATAACACGACATCAATTCAGCCAAGCATCAAATCAAGTCATCAAATGGTGTTTTCATGTAACGCTAGCCTTAATTAAATGCTTCTAGATGATAGCAGCCACCTTGTCCAAACTATTTGAAAAGGAAAGAGTCAAAGACACGCCCTTTAAAGCAACTCATCCAACTACGCTTCACATATACGAATTAAAAGTCAGGATTTTCTTGTAAGATGAGATAACCATTTCATAGATGAAAATGAAAATACTAAGGAAAAAAACAGTAAAGGAATCACGTAATAATATATGATAAAATGTTAGGTCTTGGTATTATCTTATTGACTTGTTCTATATTTAAATTAAGAAAAAGAAAACAAAATAAAAGGGCCCATCAAAGCTGACATGGTAACGGAAGCACGTTCTGTTATTAACTGTATCCATAATAAGTTTGGAGGCTGAAGCTGAATTTAATAGGGATCCAAGTTGAAATTTTAAAAATAAACTCCGGGGCCCATAAGTTCATATGACCTTGTATTAATTTTTTAATTATAACTTTATTGCTAGATTATAATCATAATTGCAATTTTTATTGATATTCTATACTGAGATGTGCTTGAAATATAATCAATAACTAATTTATTGTATTAAGTAGTGTGTTAAAAGGACTACTATTATTGAAAGAGGATTATTCGTTTTCATTAAAATAAAAAAATAATAAACCCTTAACAGTGATCACATATTGAAGAAGTCAAACATAGATGACAAGTATTGTAGTTTTCTAATGTTTGAAATTTTATTATGTTCTTAGATCATCGATGATAGATGATTTTTCTTGAGGAATAAACAAATAGTTCAGATTTTTGTTATCTTATTATTATTGTATGTAGTCATTCCCATACTTGAATAATAATAAAGTCCAAACCTGGGCAAATTTCTTGGAGAGATCAACGTATTTTCAATAAGGTCG